GCAAAAAAATAAGAATATTTTTATAAATTGTATTTTTTTTGTTTCATAATGATATTACGATCCAAGAAGAGACTATGTTTGAATACAAGGGAATGCCATATTTATAGTTTTACATATATACTATGTATATATATCAATTACCATTACCTTCTTTAAATAAACAAGTCTAAGTGCTCATTAAGATTTAAATTCTTAGTGTAGATGATCAAATGTACAACTCGTACTAAATTTAATACGGATACTTCATTAACTTAATCAATCATGGATTTAGTTACTTAGGTCATTAAGCACCCCTTAAACACCACCTAGTATAACCATGTACGACACACTAACTTTTGCTTAAGAATGGTCACTTAATTTATAAAAATGTCAAGATAACATAATATGAAACTGTCTCGAAAATGTACTTACATTCAAAAAGAATATAACAACAAACCTTTTATATGCATCCCTCTTTGCTTAATATGATGCAATTAAGTAGTTGAGTTATTTTGGAAAAAAATTAACAACAAATGAATGATAAACTTAGGTAGTTACGCCATATTAGCTCATGCAAATTGTACTCCCATCATTACAGCATTATTTATAAATCCTTCTTTAAATTATTATTAAATCACATATAATAAAATTTCATCCCAATTTATTTACAACAAATTTAAGTCCTACAATTCCCTCCAACCTCCTTTCAACTTATAAATACATGTTGCTTCCTAGTTTCACGCCTGTACTACACTTCACCTACCAAGTTAACAGAAACAACTTTCATTGCTAATCCCTACCTATATATACTCTCTTGTAATTATAATGATGAAATTTCTTCATTTCTTATGTTATCTTCCCATCATATAATTAATTTCCTAGAGATGGATGATGCTGGATGATCTAAGGTGAGATTACTCGAGTCGTATGTCGAAAACTCTTACAAACATTGTTATCAACTTAAGAGTAGTAAGCTTATTGCATGGATTTTTGCTTCCATATAATTTGCTTTCTACTTTGTTCTTGGTTTGCTCTGCTTCTATATGTCATACTTGGTTTTGTCGTCGAAGAACGTAGTTATCTAAGGAGAAAAAGAGGGAAATACTCTTTTTTGCCAGGTATATTTCTAAAACTATTTTCTCTAATTATTTCCTTACAAATTTGCATCAATTTTATTTTGTGAAGGTGATCTAGCTAGTTATATTATGAAGTCATCATGCTAAGCTAGGAATCAAAAGTCATCATGTTATATTATTCCTAGCAATAGTTTGGTATTAATGACATAAACATATTATGCAGGACACAAGCAATCAAAAGACCCTTAATTACTTAGATTAATTTGTATTCAGAATTTTAATAAAATTGCGTTAGCTACTAATCTGATCAGATACTCTAAGAGCATTGGTATATTGTGTTACACGTCAAAAAATTGTGTACAAAACCTTAGAAATTTCAGGCAGTTTCTGATTGAATTATCGGCTTGAGTCAAATTTCAGTTTTCTCTTTTTATGCAGATTATAATTCATTAACAGCTAATATAATTCGTTGCAACTGTTTAGAAAGCTAATAATCTGTTTAAAATGATGAAGAGAAAATGAGCATTGTGTCAAGCCCTATGGATAGTTTAAGGCAACTGGTGAACTCGAAGACTTGGGACTACTGCGTCCTCTGGAAATTAAGTGAAGATCAAAGGTACTTATTTATTTCGAAACATAATTAAATACTTCTTGTATATGGTTGTTACAACTTTGATCAGTGTATCTTATATTTTTTCAGGTTCCTAGAGTTTATGGACAGCTGTTGTGCTGGAAGCGAGGGCATCATGGAAAATAATGGCAATACTGTTGGTGAAGAGCTTCTGTTTCCTTGCAGAGATATGACATTTCAGCACATGAGAACAAGAAGTTGCGAATTACTTGCTCAATTGCCCTCTTCTCATCCCTTGGACGGGTACCTCTTTAAGCTATCCTTCAAATGCAAACTATTTTTGTGTGTTTATGTGATTGTACTAATTCATCATCTAATAACTTGACTTGTAATACAGGATGAATATGGAAATCCTTATATCAAATCAGCCCAAGTGGCTAAACTTCTCAAATGTCTCTGATATAAACGTAAATGAAGTAAGTCGTGCTTTATTTTGTTATACATCCACTTGTATGAGCCTTTATGCACCTAGGAATACTAAGAACGGCACCCCAATCTGGTGCCCCTCTCCACATATGCCTATTGCATTCGTCGATGCAGAAGCACCACCAAGACTAAAATTGTACTGTGCTTTACTTGATTTAAACAGGTATCGATTGGTACAAAACTTCTAATCCCAATTCCTGGTGGACTGGCTGAACTATTTGCTGCTAAACAAGTACTAGTAACTAAGTATCCCCTTCTTTTTTTACTTCATTGAACAACAATGTTATGTTTTGTTTCAATTTTAGCATTTAGTATAAGGTCCGATCTCTAAATCAATTTTTATGGGATTTATAGATCAATGAAGATCAGAATGTCATAGACTATGTTATGACTCAATGCACCACCTTGATGGACCAAGCAGCAATAAGCAGCTCGAGCAATGCCGGTCCCAGCTTCACGATGAACATCAACATGATCAACGAGCTCCAATCGAATCCAACGTTATCTGATCAAAACAATGCTATCAGCATGAACAATGAATCACAGTCTTCAATGAATTTCTTGCAGCAATTTAACTATGTTTCCGAGACTAACAAGATGTCTAGGAATAATTTTTTCGACGAAGCAAATGACTCATTTCAAGCTGAGAATCATCACCAATTAAACTCCTTCAAGTCCTTGTCAGAGAATGGATTTGAAGACCTTATGAACAATGCTAACAGTATGCATAATATGCATGTTTTGGACCATTCAGCAAATGATCATCAGCATTTAGATGAGAAGGGAAGTCTACCTAAGCATGAGATAGGCCGTGCTAACTCTGTATCGGATAGTGATCCACTTGAGGACGATGATGATGATCCAAAGTATCATCGACGAAAGCCCACAAAAGGCCCTCAATCTAAGAACCTCATGGCTGAGAGAAAGCGAAGGAAGAAGCTTAATGAGAGGCTTTACCATCTTCGCTCTCTAGTCCCTAATATTTCCAAGGTAAAAGTCTATGTTCAATTGTACTATGTTTACATATAATATAATGTTGGAGATGTTAGTAGGAGAGTAATGTGGTTAGTGGATGATCTGTTTTCTTGCCTTTTAACTTGATCCTTGTAGTTGGATAGAGCTTCGATACTTGGGGATGCAATCAAGTATGTACAAGAGCTGCAGAAGGAAGAAAAAGACCTTCAAAACGAGCTTGCGAGGAATTCAGATGATGAAGATCACAACAACAATGACATGAACATTGATCATGCACAACAACATCATCACCAACTTCATCCAATGAACTTCTCACCAGAAGTTCAAAATGCACAAGGGACAAGATTCGGGCCAGATTTTGATCACGAAAAGCCTAGAAATGGGTTTCACATGGGAGGAGCATCTGAAAGTGTCAATAGAAGCAGCCATGATTTTGAAACTGCTAGTGACAAAGCACAACAAATGGAGGTAGTCATAACATAAAACTTTGGCGCTAATATCTTGGAGTTAATGTATATACCTTGAATATAATTCTGTTGAAAATCGCAGGTGCAAGTGGAAGTTGCTCAGCTTGAAGGGAATGATTTCTTTGTGAAGGTGTTTGGTGAGCAAAAGAGAGGTGGGTTTGTGAGACTAATGGAGGCTTTACACTGTCTTGGGTTGGAGATAATCAATGTGAATATGACCAGTTGCATCAGTCTTGTCTCTTATGTATTCATTGTTAAGGTAATTACATTTACATCTTCGCATTTGTATTATTCATACATATTTTTCTTTTAAGAGTTCGGCTAATTGTCTAACAGTTAGGCAACTAATAGAGGGCAAAATGTTGATAGTGACTTTACTTGACTTAAGCCTACCCATATGTTCCTCATTAAGGGTATTTAGGACATTATGACCCTTGTCAAATTACCTAACTAGCCAGGCACTTAATTAAAGTTTCTAATACTCTTTTTTGTTCCCTGCATATCTTTTGGCAAATTCATGATAGAAGAGGGACAGTGAAAGTGTACAAGCAGAGTACCTGAGGGATTCTCTGCTGGAGGCAACGCGTAACCAAGCTGGATTTTGGTCTGAGATGGCTAAGGCATCATCAGAGAATGGAAGTGGCATCGATCATCGACATCAGAATCAGATGTACGGGCTACAACACCACATTCACAACCACCATATAGGACCTTTCCACAACCACTTCCATCACCTCAGTAACTAAGATACAAGGGTGCTTTTTCAGAGGCAAAATTAATAAAGCTTAAGTAGTTTTATATTCTCTTTTTTCCTTCTTTTTATGTAATACTCCAAACATAAAGTCCTAATTGTAGCGTCTCTTCTGTTTTTTAACTCGTGAATAAAGATGTAAAACAACATCTAGGGCTTAACATCATCAGTACTTGCCCTGCCTTTATTTGTTGATTCTCTTTATTATTTGGTGTAATCAGGAAGTTTATATAAGCTATGTGTACGTTTTTTTCGTCGGGTTTTCGTAGCAAAATCGACTAGGGGATGAGTATATGACACCAGAATGGCTGAAAATAACTGACCTTAGCTTCATAGATCAAGAGGCATAAAGCAAAAACACATCATTAGAAAATTTCCTGCTACTTTCATAACAAGTTGAAGACATAATCTGATTACATGATTAAGCTAAACTTACCAAGGCCAATATTATATAGACATATTTGGCTTGTAGGATAATACAACATTGCCTCAGATAAATCATTGCCTTATAATCTATACTAGTTATTGAAAATTTTACTTATTATAATCCCATAAAATAGTCATAATTTGGAATTAATCTCTTTAGTGAAAACAAGCAGAAGACTAAGTCATTAGCTAGGTGTAATTCTCATGGTCAAATAGCAGCTGAATAAAGTAAATCAAGTTGAAAGAACAGTTCAGCATTAGCCAAAATAAATAAAAAATAACTAAGTCAATCTCTTAAAATTTAAGCAAAAAGTCAAGCATCATTACAAGATTTTCTTCAAGAAAAAATCCACCAAATTCAATCTACACATTGTTGTTCTTCATCCTTTATCTATTACAAAAAAAAAAAAAAAATCATACAAATTAAATCAAAATTTTATCATACAATAAAGATTAACATGGACATAATTCCAACAAGAAGAAGGTAAAACCCTGCATTAATGTTACTCCTAGAAGAAGAGTCCCCTGTTTGGTTAACAGAAGTTGTGACAGGTGCTGATACATTTATCCCAAATCTCATCCCAAGTCGACAATGCGAGTCCACCGTGCATATAAACCAATACGACTTGGCCTCATTGAGCTCGATATGATCATCACCGGTCTCATATTTAGCATTCACTCCACTGCTATTATCACAGGATTGATATGCTGCCCTTGTTACATCTAGTACATTATGTGATCCCTTTGTGTAACTAAACACTGCACAACACAGCCAATAGTCGCACATTAATATTACTATTTTTGGATGTCCGAAAAACAGTTCAGTTTAATAAGAATTCAGCACAGCCAGAAAACCATCTTTAGCGGTTGACTTTATTGATTATAGATGAATTGGATTAGCAAAAACAAGAATTATTAGAAAACTAATGATTAAAATGATCAAATTATAAAATGAAAAAAGGAAATTTAAATCATACCAAGAACATCACCAACAGTGAAATTGAGTTTGTCTGCCCATGAAGCATAGCCAAAACCATCAGTCCAACGGTTCTCACCACCTACTGTGATAACTTCAGATTTGGAAATAGTGAAGAACAAACAAGAAATGAATAATAAAAGTTTCATTAGATTCAAAAAGTAGTTGAAAGATTTGGGTTTTTTAGTTATACCCATATCTTGTTTTATTTGGGTTTTTATTGATGGATCGGATGCTTTAAATGAAGAATAATGAATGGGTAGTTGGAAGGAAAAATATGATATCTACTTGTATAATATAATATGGCAAGACAATTAACTGTCTGTTTGATAGTTGTTAATTTGTTATAAAAAGTAATGATGTAAGCATAAACTCTGTATTTTTTTAGTCCTTTGTATTAGTTTATGAATAAAAAATTTGTATATAAGCATTAAAAATGAAAAACCTTTTTTTTTTTTTTTTTGTCAAATTATGAACTTTATTTACAAAATAATCTTCTGTACATAAATTTGTTATAATGGCTTTTATTTTTATTAATATATTTATTTTATTACAGCCTATCAAACAAGCTAGATCATTGTTCATTGAAGATTTCCCCCAACAATTCTCATATTCACAACCCTTGAAGTTAGTTGAATTTTTAAAAGAATATAAGTTGGCTGTAGTTTTTTTGTTCTCCAATGAATTCTTAATATTGAAGGTATTTTATTAAAAACAACAGTAATCATGCTTTAGACATATTAATTAGACTTGCTCAATCATGCACCAGTGTTAAACAAGATACATATGAAGTATATAAATACTACGGTACTACCTACCCATCAAAAAAAAAAAAAAAAAAAAAAAAAAAACTATGTGATCAAGTCAAGTCATCAAATAAGGGAGGGGGAATTAGTCATTCAATAAACAAGATGGGGGAAAAAAAAGTTTTTCTTATAGAACAACATGAATAAGCTGAACTTAATTTAAAGATTAGCAACTCTAGATTCAACAAGAGAAGGGATCATCAATGTCATTTATATTGCTCGTTGCTCCTTTATTCACCATATTTAGTTTATGTTGCATCATCATTCACCATATAGTTCATATTATTCACCAACTTATATATAACCATAGAAGACACCTTGTACATTCACTTCATTTTTAGAAAATTGTTAAAGAGTTTTTTTAGTTTTGGTCTAAAGCATGGATTTAACCTTTAGTTTTGGACAAATATAGACTTTTTTGAGCCAAGAAAACTGTTAGAGTTCTTTTGATTGATTCCATGAAACCCCTAAATTGGAATGTTAGAACCATCCACTATGTATTCATTAAATTTTCAATTTAGCCAAAAAAAAAACACTTTTCCTTTCATTAACTTAAGGAATTTAGAGCCCCTAATGTCATTCATGACACGCATTACACCTTTTGCCATAGTTTGTGTTATATTGGTTAATAATATTAGAGCATACCCTCTTTATAGTTTGTGCGCATTGATGCTAAACTTGCTTGATATTGCTGAGGATTCATAGACATCTAACCCCTAATATTGCTAGTGTATGACTATGCGTTTTAGGATCAAACTTGACAACCGATTTGGCCTCAAACAAGTAATCATCGAATCCGATTCCCAAGTTGTGATGGATCGGCTTGACAAAGCAACAACCTTCCTAACGGATCTAGATAATATTCTTGATGATGCACTAGCTGTGTGTTCTTGCTTTAAAGAGGGAAGGCAATTATATTGTTCGTCACCAAATTAGTGCCTTTTGGAGTAAAGCAGGTTTGGGTTATTCATTGTCCTCAAGAGATTACCCAATATGTACTCTCGTATATTTTAATTACGAATTAATAAAACACTAATATTTTCATCTTAAAAAAAAGGCAAAAGCTAATGAGCGCCATCGGGGTGTTAGATAAGAGAATTAAAGTGCAAATATTAGATTAAAATTAACATTAATTACACCGAACGACGCGTGATTTTGTCATGAATTTTTAACCTAATACCATTTCAACCAATATAATTTATCCTTATCTCAAGCCCGGGGCGCTCGTTAGCAACATCGTAAAAAAAATGCTAAAAATTTGCCTAAAAGTTAAGTAATTAAAAAAACAAAATGTTAACATTGTTTCAAGAGTTAATTCATGTAATTACACTTAAAATGTCCAAATCCTTCTAGACACAGCACACACATGCCCAAATCCCCTTTCTCAAGTCTCAACCCACTTTTATTTACAGTCAATCTTGCGCAACAAATCACCGTAGAATCTTCTTCAACTTTTCCCCCAAATCAAAAACCCTAGAAAAACCCTTCTCATTCTCTCTCCTCCTTCAAGCTTCAACAATGGCGTCCACTGGTAGATTCCGCCAAATCCTGAAGAAGTACGGCAAAGTCGGCTTAGGAGTCCACTTCTCCGTCTCAGCTGCCTCCATTTCCGGCCTTTACGTCGCCATCAAAAACAACGTTGACGTCGAAGCTCTCCTCCATAAAGTCGGCATGGGCGGCGTCAACACCAACGAACAACCGCAAATCCCGGAAAACGACCCCGAATTGATCGCCGACATTCCCTCTGCATTGCCGTCTCCTCCGCCGGAGAAGACGAGGAATCGTACGGCTGAGCTCGCGGCGTCTAGTGGCGGCGCTTTTGCTCTTGCTTTGCTCTGTAACAAAGCTTTGTTTCCAATTAGGGTTCCGATTACAATTGCTCTTACTCCTCCTATTGCTAGGTTTTTGGCTCGTCGGAATCTTATTAGAAGTGTATGATCTTATATCTCTTTTTTTTTTTTTTTTTTTTGCTGATTACACAGATTTTAGTTTTTGGGAGGAATTTGATCATGATCTCTTCTTTTGATTTTGGATTGCTGTGGATTGCGGTTGCTTATTTGTTTCTTCTGCTACATGCCCTCCAAGTTAATTTGATCAATAAAAAAATGATTTTTTTTTTTATGTCTGTGCATTGATGAATTACATTGTGGAACATGGAATTTGTCTTCAATTTTTATTGTGTAGTAGTAGAGGGTCATTGTGATCAAATCAAGGGTTTGATTGGATTGGAATTAGTCTTGTTGTGGAGGCAAGGTTGCCTACATTTGATCTCCGTTATTACAATTAGGGTGGGAGACATTGGAACAATGTTCCAATGTTGATGTTTATTAACCGTGTAACATGAATCCGGGGCATTAATTTCATGTGAAGAAGATCCTTGAGGAGAAATTGATCGTAGTTGAATCGAGGGGATTTAGAAAGACGGTCTAAGTGTAGTATTATTAACGATTTTTGGAACATGAAGTTTTCTTAAAAATTTATCTAATGTATAGTAGTAGATTGTCGTTATCAAGAATTTGTTTGGATTGGAATGGAATTAGTCCTGCTGTGGAGGTAAGGTCACATATATTTGATCTCCCTTATTACGGATAGGGTGGGAGGCACCAGGGAAATGTTGTTGAAGAAGATCGTTGAGGAAAATTCATTGAAGTTAAATTATATTGGTATGTTGGGGGAGGGGGTGTAGAAAATAATTTCTTTTTCTAGAGTTTCTTTATGCTCCATACTTGTTAGTATTGGTGTCCAAGTTTGATTTTTGGTCTTGTTGTAGACTATTGGGAAGGGTAAGTGCTCGAAAATCTGGCTGAATGGGAGGAAGGGGAGTCATTATTTATTCCTGGGCTACTACTGCTATATTTGTTCTTTTAGCGTACCTTGGTGGAGTAGAACATTGGGTTTGGAGAGAAAATAGTATGTAGTGTTGAATGTGTGATGATCTTTTCAGAATGACTTGGTACTTTGGTCTTTTAGCCTAATAAATCTTGCTTCAAAAGGGCAGATGGCATGCTCATCTAAGCTATGCTCGATTGGTCTTTGCAACTGTGTCTGAGATCATTTCGTGAATGGTGCTTTTTTTAATTATCCTAAGATTGTTTCTTCCTGCCTTTTGATTTCTTTGGCTTTGGTGGATTACCGACTACCACGAATGGCTGACGACATACAAAGCATAGACACGTGGTCTTTATAACTAAAGTTATTGACTTATAGTGTTGTTTTCGAATTGAGCCTAAGACTATTTTCATTGATATGTAATAAGGGCTCTGATATCTTTCTTGTAAATTTTTTGGCCCAACAGAGTTCATTTCATTGTTGAAACCTACTTTTCATCTTCTTTATAAGCCATTTTGATGATGAGGAAATGGGTATACCAGAATACTACTGAATTCGTGTGCTGATGAAAGTGCCTTGATGGATCCATTTAACTTAGTTATACCTTCAATTCTGATATGTACGCGCCAGTAGATGCTTCACGTTATATCACAGGGTTCATGGAACTATGGAAGTTACTGCATTCCAATGTGAATTGTGTGATATTCTCTAGAGCAAGACCTCTCCTTAATATTTCACGGGACTTAAACTCATGACTGGTGCAAGTTACTATTATCTGTTAGTGGCCTCATTTAGAGCTGTCAAAAGTTAACCCAACCCGAAATATCGACTCGCACCCGATTATTAACCGACCCATCTGAACCCGAAAAAAATGGAGACCTAAACCCGACCTGACCCGACCTAAAACCAACCCTAGACTCGAGTTGACCCGAGTATGTGAGACCCGAACCCGAACATGAACTGACCTGAAGATGACCCGACCTGACCCGTAAATTATTGACCTGATCCGAACCCGACTTGAATCGAAATTGACCCAAATTCGTTTTAACCCGTCAAAACCCGAATTTAACCCGTCAAAACCCAAATTGTTACTAACCTGGCTTGAATTCAACCCGACTCTTTCCTAACCCGACCCAAATTTAACCCAACCTGTTACAAACCGACTCGAAAAGTCGAAATCAACCCGACTTGTTATTAACCTGACCCAAATTCAACCCGACTTGTTATTAACCCGACCCGAATTTTACCAGACCTATTACTAACCCGACCTAAAAATTCAATCCGATCTTTTACTAACCCGACTCGAAATCAACACAACTTGTTATTGTCCCGACCTAAATTCAACCCAAATTGTTACCGACTGTTGCCCTTGATGTTTTGATGATAACACAAGGCAAATAAATGGACTAATGCCTTGATGAGTTTTGTAGTTTGTTTATTACAAGTTGCAGGAATTGATGCTTAGTGGAGTGCGTTTTTGAATTTGTCAAAAAAAGATAGAGTTTGTTAGATTGCTAGAAAATAGGAAAAACGGTTTTGGAAAATATCTCTTCTGTTTTATTCTTTAGATAATATCTTTTGATTTCAGAAAAATATCCTTGAAAAACTAACTCCCTAAACTTGCGCAACTAACTGTTGATTCAGTCTTCACCACTTGCGTACAAGCTGCTTCTAAGAGGATCAACGTGCCCTGGTTTTTAGGACATGATTGAAAATCTAGAAGTGGTGTAAAGTAGTGGCGTTGATATGCAGCAGTGATGGCTCAAGTGGTAGGAGTTATGGCGTTTTTCCCAAGCAATGTTTTCCTATAAATATTAAAGTTATTCTTGGGATAACTTCACCTTGCTCAATCATATCTATCTTTCTTTTTGTTTTCTTAAAGAGTCAAGTGTCGCATTCCACTTAAGTGTTTTTCTTAATTACTTTCACTAGAGTTTTATTTACTTGAGTTGTAATTTGGGAATTGGGAGTTTGAGTGAACTCTAAGAGAAATTAGTTGAGAAAGAGAGAGAAGAGAAGAGTGGCAAGTAGAGGGACTTGCTGCTGGGAACTTCAAGTTCATAGAGGAACTTGAAGATTGATTCTTTAGTTTGTAATAGGTTGTTTGCCCAGTTGCCCTGTTATAGTGAAGAATCTTTCCTAAAATCCCAAGTGGTCGTGGTTTTTCTTCTTGCCAATAGGTTTTCCACGTAAAATCTCTCTGTGTTATCTTAAAGTTCCTTTAACTTTATTTTATCAATTTTTTAAAAAGTTAGCTAAATTCCTCCAAACTACAATTCACCCCCCCTCTTGTAGTATTCTTATAAAGCAACACTGACCCAATTTCTAATCACCTTAAATGCAATTTAGACCACCTTATTATTGTTGATCAAAACATTTTGTCTAGGTAAACCAAGTCGGTCCAGGCCAGCAAAAGAAAGGAGCATCATCCTCAAATTTAAGAGTTAAATATAGTACTATATATTTGTTGTATGGTCAAAGGATATAATTATTTTCCTAAATTATCAACTATAGATTTCTAGTATATTTTCATATATATTATAGTCAAAGGAAATAATTAACTTGATAAAAATGATAATTATCTATTTATAGTTAGTTGAACCCGAATATAACCTGACTTAGAAATGACCCGACCTGATTGTAACCTGCAAATTATTGACTTGAACATAACTTGACTTGGCTCCGAGAATGACCCGACTTGAAAATGAGCCAACCTGATTATAATCCGCAAATAATTGACTTGAACCGAACCCGACGTGAACCCGAGAATGACCCAACTTGAAAATGACTTGACCTGATTATAACCCGCAAATTATTGATTTGAACCGAACTCGACTCAAACTCGAGAATGACCCGACCTGATTCTAACCCGCAAATTATTGACTTGAACCGAACCTGACTCGAACACGAGAATTACCCTAACCAGTTTTAAACCGAATTAAACTCGACCTATTGTTCACCAGACTCGAATTGAAGGAATTGTGTCTTCGATAAGTGCAATTACTAAATATATCAAGGATCACTATTATGGAGATAATAAGTTCGTTCTTTTGGGTCGTCATTATCTGTTGCTAGATTATGATCAATGATCTTTGGGCTAGTCAAATAGTCCAAAGCCTACTAGAATGGATCCTATGAGGTCACACAACAAGGGTATTGGGTTAAGCAAGTAAGAGGCCCATTAATGGGCCTCATGAGCAACTAACTAATCATGAAATGGATCGGGCTAGCATAGTTAGATGAGAATTAGGTTTTGGGCTTTTGACATGGGCTCTTATTTAGAGATGAGATCTATAAATAAGATCCATGCCTAGGGTTGCTTGCAAGCAGTCATAATTCACACACAGTGTATTTTGACATCAAGGCAACCAATCCCAAAACCCTAATTCTCTCTCTATCTCACGGCTATCTCTCTCCTCCCGTTGTCCGTACGGCCGGCCACCCTTGGTGGCGCGTGTGGTGGTTCGTGGTGGTTCATGGTGGTTCGTTACTCGCTCTTCTCCATAGAAGGTCAATTAAAGGGTTCAATTGCAACTAACTAGAATTAGTGGAGGTCTTAATCTATGCCCGTGGACCAAGTAAAGGAATCACGCTTGAGGTTCTTTATCTCCCATTGTTCTTGCTCGATCGCACGTGGAATCACGCTTCAAAGGTACGATTATATGTTCTTTATGTGTTATGCATTAGTTCTTGGGATTAGGTACTGTATGAATATGATTCATGTTTTTCCGCTGCGTAGTACCTATAATTCCCTACACGAATGTAACCCGACTTGTTATAAACCTGACCCAAACCTGATAAGAAGTATGACCGGATATGACCCGACTCAAGCATGACCCAACCCAAAACCGACCCGAAAAAGTTATGGAATAATCCGAATTGACCCGACCCACTCTTACAAACCCAAACCCGATCCGTTTACTCGAATTGACAGCTATACCCAAAAGGTCAAAATTTCTCAAAAGGCGTGGATATTAGTCTTCAATATTGGAATTTTTTGACTTTTTTTCACTCGGAAATAAAAATTTCCGAAATGTTTACCATGGTCCCTAATACCCTCTGGGAGTCCAATTGGCTGGGTGGAACCATCCAATTTGCCTTTAAACAGCCAATTTAATAACCGGTTTACAACTTGCACGGATTTCATTAACTCAAGCCTACTACGAACATTTATAACAACATTTAATGATCATATATGGTTCCAAACGGAATTATATGACCCCGAGATGTATCCCCTAAAATTTCAAGAGTTTTCGACACCGGGCCTCGAAATCCCCAAAATTTCTCAAAAA